TTGTGTTACCATTCATCACATTCATACACATGCATCTTGCATCTTATCTAGGTACGCTAGATGCACCACATGAAGGATGAGATATTGGAGCCAAACCCGAAGACAATGTTTGATGGATCTATCCCGAAGATGGAAGGACTAAGCAAGTACTAGGACCTGAGATGTCACCAGGACGGTGCAAGCTAACTGAACTGACTTGTGTCGGATCCCAGGTAAGCCCCGGAGCATTCTAAGTCTCCTATTTTTTTACAAATATCTTGAGTATCTTTTATTGTTGATGATGCATTAAGTATATGAATTGGTTGGAACCAGTTGTTGCATTATATCCTTACCTTGTCCAGATAAAATCCTATGAATCCTAATTAAGTGTAGGATCGAATGATGCTTAGCTGTGCTTAGACCGGTAGAAGTCGGGTGATTTCCTGTCACCTGCGAGATGTAGGATGAGCTCTGGTCACGGTTGGCTATATTTGCTATCATGAAAAAGAACCATGCGTTAATAATGAAAAGAGACCGGACGGGATGACGGTAGTGCAGCAACAAGGCATGGAAGTCTTGGGTGTGAATCTATCCCCGTCTGTGTCGTTTAAGGACCATTTCGCTGTACGTCCTCATGTCATGTTGAACGCATGCCTATCACTTAGTTGGCCGGATAACTCGTTCTGACCGCGAAGCCGAGTAGCTCAACTCAGGCCGAAAGACCGAGAAGTGAAAGTGCGCACCCTGGCGGTGGTAAGGATGTGCGAGGAGCTATTGGCGTAAGTCCGAGGTGAGATTGACCACCTGGCAGAGTGGACTCCCTGAGGGTGCGGCGCTGCTCGGAGCCGCGATTCCTGAGTCATACCAAAGGTGACCCGAGGAAACCATTGATCAGGTGGATTGGGTGAGTGTTTGGAATACCCCTCCAGCTGGATAGGAATCGATTCGAATCGTCGTCTCTCCTGAATAGTGAGAACTTGACTGAGCAGCGGCAACGTAGATTCACTAAATTTAAAGATATGGTTAAAGAATGATGATGATGCTAATGATAATGATAATGAGCCATGAAATACCTAATATGGTTATTATTGTTTGCAACTTAATTAATCAAGTAATTGATTAGTACAGGTGCTAATATAGATGGTAGGTAATGGCTAAAAGTCACTGCTAGTACAGGTGAATAATGCTAATGGTTACTCAAGCTTTTATGCAAAAATGGTTGTCCAGCTAGATCCACTGATAAAGCCTTGCATAATCCTTGGTGGTACTTTATTTCTGGTTTATGACGGGTAAGTCTAGCTAAGTACATTCGAGTACTCAGGGTTTATCCCACCATGTTGCAGGTGAAGTTCTCGACCTATTGAAGATGGTGGCTAACCGCCGGTGGGCTCGGTGATTCTATATTTACTTCTCATCTATATGCTTTTGTCTAAGGATGTCACTGATGCTAGCAATGTATTTAAAACTTATATTAATGTAATCATTTGAAAGCCATGTTGTTTTCAATAATCGGTTTTGAAACCCAAACTTTTAATATTATTTGTGAATCCATTTGTAATATTATTTTCACTACAACTCTGCGTATGTGATGTGTATTTGCTTAATCACGCGATCTTGGTTGTGATGTTGATTTACCGAGGTCCTTCGTGACACTCGGCGGACTACCGGGTTTATATGAGTAAAAGTATGTGTGTGTCAACGTGTTAGCGGGGACAGCCATACTTGATCTTGTATAAATTGGGCAGTTCTGTCACAGTACTTCCTCCTGCTCGTGGATGATTGCAGTCGCTACATATGGTTGCAACTCCTAACGAGCAAGGACGAAGCGGCAGCGGTGATCAAGAAGTTCAAGATGCGTGCGGAGGCCGATAGCGGCAAGAAGCTCCGCGTGCTGAGGACTGATCACGGCGGCAAATTCACTTCGGTGGAGTTCGCTGCGTACTACGTGGATCAGGGTGTGGGGGCAACACCACACCGCGCCGTACTTGCCACAACAGAATGGCTTGGTGGAGAGGTGGAACCAGACGGTAGTCGGCATGGCCCGATCCATGATGAAGGCCAAAGGCATATCGGTAAGGTTCTGGGGTGAGACAGTGACCACGGCGGTGTTCATCCTCAACCGATCTCCTACCAAAGCCCTGACGGGCAAGACGCCGTTCGAAGCTTGGTATGGGCGCAAGCTGAGCGTGTCCTTCCTCCGGACATTCGGCTGCATCAACCACGTTAGGAAGACAAAGCCAAACCTCACCAAGCTAGAGGACAGGAGCACACACATGGTGTTCCTGGGCTACGCGAAGGGTACCAAGGCGTACCGGCTCTACGACCCACGCGAAGACAAGGTGCTTGTCTCACGCGACGTCGTGTCGACGAGGAGGTGGCTTGGGACTAGAGCAGTTCGAGCATGGGGGAAGCTGGCGGCTTCACCAGCACCTTCATCGCTGAGCACTTGGTCATCCACAGTGGTGGAGACGCTGGGGAAGAGGTGCCGAGCACTCCGAGGAGGAGTGCCGAGCACTCCGGCGGTAGAGCCGAGCACTCCTGGGGCAGTGCCGAGCACTCCGGGAGGAGTGCCGAGCACTTCTAGAAGGATGCCGAGCACGCCAAGAGTGGTACCGGGAGATTCTGCAGTGGTGGCGATCACTCTAGGACGGGTGCCGAGCACTCCCGCGGCGGAGCCAAGACGTCTTACAGTGGCGTCGACCACTCCAAGACTGAGGCAGGGCACTCCTATAGTGTGGCCGAACACTACAGGAGTTATGACGAGCTGTCCAGGTGCTGTGCCGAGCACTCCGGCAGAACAGGGAACTCCATCGATGCCGATCGAGTTCACCTCACCTCCAAGTGACATCACTGAGTTCGTGGATGCCTTCCACGAAGGTGAGGAGGTGCGGTTCCGTAGGCTGGACGACATCATCGGCGGCACAGTTCCCTCAGGCTTGGCGGGTAGGCTACTCAATGACGCAGAGCTGCTACTAGTCAGTGCTGAGGAACCACCCACGTTCGCGCTTGCCGAGCGCGATGGAAACTAGCGACAGGCGATGCTGGAGGAGATGAAGGCGATCGATGAAAATGAGACTTGGCAGCTCGTCGATCCACCTCCAGGATGCCGTCCGATCAGCCTGAAGTGGGTGTACAAGGTCAAGCGGGACGAGCTCGGCACCATTATCAAGCACAAGACGTGCCTCGTCGCCCGAGGCTTTGTTCAGCGCGAGGGCATAGACTTTGAGGAGGTCTTTGCGCTAGTAGCGCGTATAGAGTCGGTCCGTTTGCTACTAGCTTTGGTAGCAGCAAAGGACTGGCGTGTCTATCACTTGGACGTTAAATCGGCCTTCCTCAATGGCGAGCTGGCGGAGACGGTATTCGTTAGGCAAGCTTGGGTTTTAATGGTGCGCAACCGAGCACGCGCTCTATACGCGGCAAAGGGGGAAGGAGGAGCTCATCATCGGCGTGTATGTGGATGACTTAATCGTCACCGGCGCGTGCACGGAGGACATCAACAGCTTCAAGCACGAGATGGCGGCTCGTTTTTGAATGAGCGATCTCGGCGCACTCTCCTACTACCTCGGCATCGAGGTGAGACAGAGAAAGGAGGAACTCACACTCGGTCAGAGCGCGTATGCCTCCAAGCTGTTGGAGAGGAGCGGCCGAAGCTGACGAAGGCCAGCACCGCGGCGAAGGTGGATGCGACACTCTACCGGAGCATCGTCGGTGGTCTGCGCTACTTAGTCCACACGAGGCCGGACATTGCGTTCGCCGTGGGCTACGTTAGTCGCTTCATGGAGGGTCCTAGAGATGATCACTGGGCTGCGGTGAAGCGGATACTGCGCTACGTTAAGGGGACGGTAGATCATGGGATCATCTTCCCAAAGACCGACGAGAGTAGGCTGCAGCTCACTGTGTTCAGCGATGCAGACATGGCGTGGGACATCGACGGACGACGGAGCACCTCTAGCGTGCTCGTCTTCCTCGGGTCGGCCCCAATTTTATGGTTGTTGCTGAAGCAGAAGGTGGTGGCGCTATCTACGTGCGAGGCAGAGTACGTAGCGGCGGCCACAGCGGCGTACCAAGTTGTGTGGCTACGCCGGCTGCTGGGCGAGCTGACCGGCGTGGAAGCTCACCCACCAGCACTAATGGTGGACAGCCACCCCGCCGTCGTCCTCGCGAAGAATCCAGTTCTGCACGACCGGAGTAAACACATCGACGTGAAGTTCCACTTCCTCAGGGACTGTGTTGATGGAGGGCAGATCGTCATCGAGTTCGTCGAAATTGGTCGGCAACTCGCGGACGTCCTCACCAAGCCGCTCGGACATATTCGACTCACGGAGCTGAAGGAGATGATCGGTATGGAGGGGGTACAAGGGTTAATAATAAGATTAGGAGAAGATTGTTAGATAATCTAATACTACATTGTGTGAACACAGCAAGGGAAGGCGGCGTCGAAATGCCCCCTGCTGTGATACTGTAGCCCTCCAGGTGCAGGCGCTGCACGGCTCACCTGCAGCACTATAAGCACATGCAGTGGCCGACGCAGAGTCAGCCCTGTATGTTATCTAGTCACTGTTGCAGCAGGGAAGCTGTACTGGGATTAGATGGATAGAGTTGTATAAATTGACTATCACGACAACTCAGTAAAGAGAGTTCAGGTTTGCCATCTCTCAGACAGGGTTTCGGCCAACGCTGGTGTCTTGTACTGTGTGTGCATGCTTTGTTCTCCCTTCTTCTTCTAGCTCTAGCCATAGTGTGTGGGGACGAACAACGTCTGTTCGTGGTCGGCACGGCTAGTGGGTGCTCGGTAACACTAGCGAGTAAGTGCTCGGCAACACTAGCGGATGCTCGGCAAGACTGATGAGTGGTTCGCTCACCTGAGCCGACGATTCTGTAGGCCAACACTAATCCTATCTTAGGACGCAACCACTACGAGATACAAAATAATAACATTCATACTGGAACATCAATTCTAGTGTATGTTAAGTCTATCTGTCTACTACAACGTCACAGAACAGACAAGGAGCGAGTCTAACCTCATCATCTTCCGAAAGGCTATTAAGCACAGGAACATTGAGACTCCACGACCATGTGTCTAAAGAACCATCCGTGCTTAACAAAGAGCCATATTCTGATTTTGCAACTTTATCCCACATCAACTCTTCACGCAGGAGGAGCTGTTTCAGGGTTTCTCTAGGGAGCGTGCCCCCTTCAACAGAAGCGACAGCAGGTAGACCTGTCTTGTAAACAGTTTTTATCCATTTTTCTGTGAACAAATACCATGAATTATCTGAACTTAAAGCTACATAGTAAGACGGGCAATAGAGTTGTTCCCCACTATAAAGTTTCTGCTTGCCGGAAACAAATGAATCATCTTCCACCTGCAGTAAGTATATAAGGAGTAAGCCTGCTTCGGTTTTTCTTTTGCAATGTTTTTTTTAAAAAAGTATCTCACCATGTTCGTGATCTTTTGATCAGTAAATGAGTTGAGGTTTCCAATAAATACAGCAGGGATCGTGTGCTGAATTGAATCCTTATCTTTGTATTGCAGGCACATGAAGGGCCTGTTCGCTGGTTGGTGCTGGTGCTGATTTGGGCTGACTGATGCTGTTTTTTTTATAGAGAAAAACACTGTTGGCTGGCCGGTTTGGGCTGGCTGAAACCAACAAGCGAACAGGCTGGAAAAGAAGATGGCCACTTTCAAATTCTTCTAACCGATTTTTCCATGCAGCCATTCTCTCCAGTTCCATCTTTTTTTTCAGCTCATTTCTGATCTGCTTCTCTTCCTGAGGGACAGGGGTGTAGAACATTAGATGGATCAATATACTGTTAACTTTAATACATCAAAACAACTAAACAATGAATATTACCTTTAGTCTCTTCTGTAGAAGGGAAATCTCAGCATAGTCTTCCTCTGATAATTCTTCCCTGCATTTTCGGTCAATAGATTCATCAGTAATTTCTGAAGAGAGGTATTGTATTTCTTGCTGTATTCTTTCAATCTCTTCTTTGGCAGCAACCATTACATTGCTCCCAACATAATTCCCAAAGCTTTGCTCCACGAGCTTTCAAGCTTCTTCTAAGGTTCTCCCAGACCGCTTGACCTTAACATCATCCGATTCTTTCTGATTATGTGTAACTTTTGAACCCTGGACAGCATATTCCAACCCATTAGATAAAGATCTGGAGAAAGCAGGAACTTCTGAATAGATAATAATAAAAAGAAATAAAAATACATACGGCAAGAAGATTCAAAACCATCCCGTATGATGCAGTGAATTGTGAGACAAGTGGCTCAAGTCCGGCAAAGATGATGTCACAACACTCTTCAGGTCCTTCATATGGAGTCTGAACAAGAACAGCATGCCCAACTGTATCAATCCCTCTCCTTCCAGCACGACCTGCCATCTGGAATAATTCATTTGGGGTTAAGAGCTGGCGCCCAGCATCTATTCTTTTACTGAGAGAAGAAATCACGGCCGTCCTAGCCGAACGGGGCCACGCTGAAATAATTCTTCAATAAATGATTTCCACAGTGGCAAGCAACCAGCATGATGGGCCGCAACTCCTCGCAAGAGTCCTTTCACAGCGCTTTCTCGAACAGCATCAGGATATTGCATCTTGAACCTTCTAAGTTCCAGTTCAACTTCACTAGCCTCACAGTCATGCAACAGTCTGCAATCCTCAAGGTACTCAACAGCTGCATCACACCCTCTTCTACTAAAAATAAACCAAATAGCTGGAAGCATGTCATTTTCCCATAGTTGTGATAAAGTGTCACGTATTAGTGGAACCTGCATTCAAAGGTACCAAAAAATGGCATCAATTTGTCATTCCACATAATTGGACCACATGTCTTCTAGGAAGAAAAATAACAAATGGCAATTCAAATCTATTATGTGAGAAAGCAAGTAAGCAAAGCTTAAAAGGGATTTTAGTCCATACTTGGGAACGGCGCATATTGCTGAGTTCATGTTAGAAATTTAGGCATTTTCATAGTCAATTTAATCCAAAAAATAACATCAGCAGGATCGAGACGGCATATATGTGCATGTGTATATTTCTAATAAACGCTACAGCATGCAGAGATGACATATAGATGATACAGTAAAATCGTAAAGTACAGTAATCACCGAGATTAGAATGTACCCAGAGGAGGGTCCCATGCCAAGGGCATCGGAGGCTCCATTCGCACTAGTCGACATAGTGCGTTGCTCGAAGTCGTGCACCATAGTCGATGCAGGACGATGTTCGCAGTGCAGTCCCACGAATGGATCACCAGAAGAAGAAGACGTCTTGCTGTTCCGCAGGCAATCACCGGGAAGAATACGGGTTCCGAGAGCGATCACCACCAGGAAGAAGGCGTACGTGGACGAGCAGTCGCGGATCGCCCCCCAAAAACCTAATCGCCGCACACCCCATGCAAGGTTCTCAGGCGGACGAGGGTTCCAGAGGCACCTGCTCTCCCGCTACTCTGTGCGCGCAGAGGTACGGGACGGGGAAGTCAGAGGGCTACTGAGATGTGGTTTCTCTCGGGAGCGGTTGCAGAAGACGGAGATCTGGACTGACGGAGGACTATGGATATATGGCTGCGAAAGGAAGGGAGAAAGGCAGCGGAGAATCTCAGGAGACGGAGAAGCGGAAGAGACGGTAACTGACGCAATCAGTTCGCCTCCACCATCAAAGGGAGAAACTCCCGTGATTATGTGGATTAAGTGGCAAAAGACTGGCCACGCCTGCCCGCTCGCCGCCTCGCCTGCCCGCCTCGCCTCGCCACGGCCTCGGTCTCGGCCTGACCTGGCCCGTGCCCACGGCCATGGCCTGCGGCCCGGCCGGCGGCGGCGCACGTGTTGCACGCCTATGTCCTTTTTTTAGCTTCTCAATTAATATGAATAATTTTCAACCATATATGCTGAGTCAACGTTCAATCAAAATTCTCATATGGTATTAAACCATACAAAACTTAATGTTATGTACCATAGAGTTTTATTTGATTTATTAAATATTATACGGGCCAAGTCCATAATATATCCAATAATCCCCACCAAATTCTAGGGTTTGTAACAAAGTAGTCTCAGAATCACATTTCTTTTATATACCAGTGTTTCGATGGAGACTGTTAAGTTGAACATCCATCTAGAGCAATAGTTTCACTCAGTCACAACTGAACAATGGACTAGGCCTTGAATTGCCAGTTTTGTGTGAGGTGAATGTCACTAAAGTCCTTAGCTAGTACTTGGCCGTAAAAGGCATCCCCTCTATTTGAAGCATATAAGTCATACTCCAGTGCCTTTTATAAGTATTTAGAGATCACCCAAATCTCATAGACTGTGACCAGCAGTCTGACTCATATATGTGTGCTCCTCAAAAGATGTTCTATACGACAACATCTTTGCTTTAGTAAGCCACTTGGAACACATTAAGGTAAAAACCAACCTGCCTTACAGGAAGGAAAGATATGCATCAGAAATAAGTCTTACTAAGGATCTTTTCTCATAATTTATTACTAGCTTATTTCATCATTCCACTTCACGGGATCTCCGATCACATAGAACAGGTTACCACTATAGTAAATTTCAAGTGGGTCTCAAACCCATCTCTCTCGATGCACTTTCTATCACATTGCGTGACAGACCCTTAGTGAATTGATCTGCCAGATTGTTAGACATGTGAATATAGTCCAACGCTATTACTCCGGAGTTTCTTAAATTTCTGACATATTTCAGTCGTCTCTTAACATGCCTTTGTGGACTTCATGTTATCCTTAGAACTGTTAACCTTCGTAATCACAGTTTGGTTATCACAGTTCATAGAAATAGCCGGTATTGGTTTTTTAACAACCAATAAATCCATAAGGAGATCATGAAGCCACTCGGCCTCAGAGCCAGCGGTGTCTAATGCTGTGAGTTCTTCTTCCATTGTAGACTTCGTTAAGATAGTCTGCTTGCAAGACTTCTAGAAAACAGCACCACCTTCAAGCGAAAACACATATCCACTTGTGGCATAAAGCTCATCAGCATCAGAGATCCAGTTTGCATCACAATAGCCTTCCAGCACTTTTGGATGTCCAGTATAACGAATATCATAGCTTATGGTGCATTTTAGATAGCGCATCACTCTCTCAAGAGCACGCCAGTGATCATCTCCCGGGTTTGACATAAACCGGCTCAGCTTGCACACAACAAATGAGATGTCAGATCTTGTTGCACTAGCAAGATACATGAGCGAACCAATGATCTGGGAATACCTCAACTGATCCCTTGCTATTCTCTGATTTTTCCTCAATAGCACACTAGGGTCATAAGATGTAGGAGCATGTGCATAGTCACTAAACCCAAAGCGACTCAGCACCTTTTCCACATAGTGAGATTGTAACAGAGTTACCCCACCATCACCTTCTCTCAGAAGCTTGATATTAAGAATAAGATCAGCCTCTCCCAAATCTTTCATCTCAAAATTTTTAGAAAAAAATTCCTTCACCTCCTCGATTACTTTGAGTCTGGATCCAAAGATCAGTATGTCATCAACATATACGCACAAAATGACTCCTTCACCCCTACCATACTGATAGTACACACATTTGCCAGCTTCATTCACAACAAAACTAGCAGATGTTAAAGTTATGCCGAACTTCTCATGCCACTGCTTAGGAGCTTGTTTTAGGCCATATAATGACTTTAATAATTTACACACCTTACCTTCTTGACCATTTGCTACAAACCCATCTGGCTGATCCATATAGATTTCCTCCTCCTAACTCTCCGTTTAGGAAAAGCTGTCTTAACGTCCATTTGATGAACGATGAGACCATAAGAGGCTGCTAGGGAAAGCAAAACTTGAATTATGGTCAATCGGGCAACCGGTGAATAAGTATCAAAGAAATCCTCACCTTCCTTTTGAGTATAGCCCTTGGCCACAAGCCTTGCCTTGTACCTCTCGATAGTACCATCAGGCCTAAACTTTTTCTTGAACACCCGTTTGCACCCTATAGACTTGCACCCATAGGGACGATCAACTATTTCTCAAGTTCCATTAGACATAACAGAATCCATCTCACTCTGTACTGCTTTCTTCCATAAGTCAGCATCAGAAAAGGAATATGTCTCTTCAATGGTCGTTGGTGTGTCATCCACAAGGTACACAATATAGTCATCACCAAAAGACTTTGCAGTCCTCTGTCTCTTACTCTTTCTAGTGACTATAGTGTCATCCTCCTCAGGATTTTGCATATAGGGTTCCTCAGTTTGTTCTATCGGAGTAAAATTTTTATGTTTATGGGGAATTATAAATTCATAACAAGTCGTGCTAGGTGCATTTTTCATGGGAAACCCATTCTTAAAAAAATGTAGCGTCTCTAGATTCCATGATTGTATCAACAACCATCTCAGGAACACTAAAATTTATAATTAAAAATCTATAACCCACACTGTGAATAGCATAACCAAGACAAACACAATCAATAGTCTTTGGTCCAAGCATTTATTTTTTGTTTATTGGCACATTCACCTTTGCCAAGCAACCCCAAGTTCGCAGATAAGAGAGATTTAATCTCTTCTTCTTCCATTACTTGAATGGTGTAATTTCTTTGTTCTTTATGGGCACTCTATTCAGGACATGACACACTGTTAATATAGCCTCACCCTACCATTCCTTAGATAGTCCCGCAGTCTCTAACATGGCATTTACCAAATTAGTTAGACTGCAGTTCTTTCTCTCTGCAATCCCATTGAACTGTGGTGAGTATGGTGGTGTCCTCTCATGAATAATTCCATGCACCGCGCAAAACTCAGAAAATTCATTTGAGAAATATTCTCCCCCGTGATTGGACCACAAACGTTTGATTTTCTTCTCAAGTTGATTTTCTACCTCAGCTTTATAGACTTTAAAATAATGCAACGCTTCATCTTTACTTTTCAATAAATGCACGTAGCAAAATCTAGTATAATCATCTGTAAATGTCATGAAGTATCGTTTACCTCCTTTAGTCAATTCGCCATTCATTTCGCATAAATCAGAATGAAAGAGTTCTAATGGTGCCAAGTTCCTCGCCTCAGCAGCCTTGTGAGGCTTGCGCGGTTGCTTCAATTGCACACACACCTGGCACTTAGAATCTTTGACTAAGTTAAATTTTGGGATCAAATTTAGATTTGTAAGCCGCGTGAGACAATCAAAATTAATGTGACAAAGTCGTGAATGCCATATATTCGACTCATTCGAAACATTAACATTGTTCACCACTTTATTACACACATCATCAAGCAAAGATAAGCGGAACAAGCCTCCGCAATCATAACTTTTTCCAACAAATGTTCCATGTCTCGACACAACACACTTATTGGACTCAAGCACAATTTTAAAGCCATCGCGACACATTTGAGAACCACTAACAAGATTCTTTTTTATGGAGGGGACATGCTGCACGTTCTTTAATAGCACCGTCTTTCTCGAAGTAAACTTCAGACCAACCATACCAGCACCAAGAACACACGCATGTGAACTGTTTCTCATCAGCAAGGCTCCAGTCCTGCCGGCCTGATTGGAAGTAAACAAAGAAACATCAGCACACACATGGATATTAGCACCGCTGTCCATCCACCACTCAGGTGAAAGACAAACTGAGAGAACAAAAGGTAAAGAATTACCATATCCAGATGTTTCTCCTCCAGTCTCGCTAATTACCACTTTTGCTGATTTCTTTTCTTGCTTATATTTACGGTCTAGGCACGCACTTGTCCAATGCTCATCACTCCCGCAAACAAAGCAACCTTCACCTTTCTTATTGTTTTTCTTCTTAAACTGTGCAGTTTGTTTAGGCTTTGTATTGTTGTTTTCTTGCATGTTCTTCTTCTTTTTATTACGGGATGCAAATGAGTTTTTTTCCTGCACCATATTGGCAGTGGAAGACTCAACTTCCTTTCCACGGTTGTCTTTTGCTCTCGCCCTCTCCTCAACATCAAGAGATCCAATAAGTTCAGCCACGCTAAACTCCTGTCTCTTGTGTTTTAGAGAAGTAGCAAAATCCCTCCAAAAAGGTGGTAGCTTAGCGATTATACCGCCGACCACAAACTTGTTGGGCAACAAACATGAGAAATATTCTAGTTCCTTTGTTAGCTTTATCTCATGAGCTAGCTACTATTTTCAACCATTCATAGTCATACTGTCGCCCATAAGGTACAACTCACTACCAGCATCAGAAACTCCAAACTTTGCCTCAAGAGCATCCCATAGCTCTTTGCCTGATGTGCAAGATATGTAGTTTTCTCATACTTGGGATGATGTGCATTAATCACAGCGCCTTGAAACAGGTTATCGGTAGACAAGAACTTTTGCTCCTCCTCAGGAGTAAACTGTTCAGGCTTCCCCTGTGCGGCGTGATAGCAGTTTATCGCAGTCAACCACAATACCATCTTGGCATGCCATATCATGAAATTCTTACTATCAAAATTATTTGGCTTTAAAGCAGCAGCAAAACCACTGACAGAAAATTGTCTAAGATTAGGTTTTTGGATTATTAGAAATTTAGGTATTTTCATGGTCAATTTAATCCGAAAAAATAACATCAGTAGGTTCATGACGGCATATATGTGCATGTGTATATCTCTAATAAATGCTACAGCATGCAGAGATGACATACAGATGGATACAGTAAAAGCGCAAAGTACAGTAATCACAGAGATTAGAATGTACCCAGCGGAGGGTCCCATGCCGAGGGCATCGGAGGCTCCATTCGCACTAGTCGACATAGTGCGTTGCTCGAAGTCATGGACCACAGTCGATGCAGGACGATGTTCATAATGCAGTCCCACGAACGGATCACCAGAAAGAAAACGCCTTGCTGTTCCGCAGGCAATCACCGGGAAGAAGACGGGTTCCGAGAGCGATCACCACCAGGAAAAAAGCGTACGTGGACAAGCAGTCGTGGATCGCTCCCCAAAAACCTAATCGCCGCACACCCCGTGCAAGGTTCTCAGGCGGACGAGGGTTCCAGAGGCACCTGCTCTCCCGCTCTCCCGCTACTCCGTGCGCGCAGAGGTACGGGATGGGGAAGCCGGAGGGCTACTGAGATGTGATTTCTCTCGAGAGCGGTTGTAGAAGACGGAGATCTGGACTGATGGAGGACTACGGATATATGGCTGCGAAAGGAATGGAGAAAGGCAGCGGAGAATCTCAGGAGACGGAGAAGCGAAAGGGACGGTAACTGACGCAATCAGATTCGCCTCCACCATCAAAGGAAGAAACTCCTGTGATTATGTGGATTAAGTGACAAAATACTGACAACGCCCGCCCGCTCGCCGCCCGCCTCGCCATGGCCCGCGGGACGGGGAAGCCAGAGGACTGCTGAGATGTGGTTTCTCTTGGGAGTGGTTGCAGAAGACGAGATCTGGACTGACGGAGGACTATGGATATATGGCTGCGAAAGGAAGGGAGAAAGGCAGCGGAGAATCCCAGTAGATGGAGAAGCGAAAGGAATGGTAACTGATGCAATAAGTTCGCCTCCACCATCAAAGGAAAAACTCCCGTGATTATGTGGATTAAGTGGCAAAAGACCGGCAAGAAACTCCGGCGGCGGCGGCGGCGGCGCGTGCACGCCTATGTCCTTTTCTCAGCTTCTCAATTAAGATGAATAATTTTCCAACCATATAAGCGGAGTCAACGTTCAGTTAAAATCCCATATGGTATTAAACCATACAAAGCTTAATGTTACGTACTATAGAGTTTTATTTATTTATTAAATATTATACGGGTCAAACCCATAATATATCAACAGTTCATGCTTTGATAACTGAACCTGTTTCGATATGTCAAAAGTGCTGCTATTACCTTGCTCAATTTTATTTGTTCTAAACCTCCTCTTTCCTTTGACATAATAGAACTCACTCTTTGGAGATGCTAAGTTTTGGAAGTTAGACATCCGCAGTTTGCTGTATGAATAGAAGAAGAAAAGGAAAGTTGTAATGTGGCCCCTATTTTCAAATATAAATTCCAGTGTGAAAGGAAAACCCATGTGTCATGACTCATGAGATCCATATGCACTTGTTTTTATTTTTGTCCTTAATATGAAGAACGAATTTGAGTTTAAAGTTCTGCATGTCTCCACGAAAAAAATTGGACCACTCTAGAAACCACATCCCTTATCTTTTAAAATGAACTTGCACGTCTGGTACCTATTCATTTTTTTCCCCTTTCCATCAAGAAGTGGTTGTAATGAGTATTTCTTCGAGAAGTGCCAAGTAAGCGGAACTGGACGTTTGTTCGATGTTACAAGCTCTGTTTTACCATGAATCTGCAAGGAAAGATACATAAGAATGATTCCATACTTCAGAAAATAGAACAATGTCGTGCCATACTGAGCAAATAAATGTAAATCATTATGTTTAAAACAAAACATTTGCGCATGCATGTGTTTGTGCAGTCTCACTGTAATTTATAGTAAGAGAAAATCCTAGGCCAATGGTAGGAAAAATTGCACCTAAATTTACGGTAGGAAGACAAACTCACATTCTTGCATATTCATCACTGAGGGTAAAGAAAACCAGCTAACAAATAATTAAACGTGAATCTGCCATTACCTGACTTATCCAGCCAGCTAATTCATCAGGATTTGCAACAGTGGCTGACAGACATATAAGCTGGACTTCCTTTGGACAATATATGACCTAAGACATGATAAAAGTGGCCAAGTCAAATGACCAATATGAACACAAGTGATCAATATGAGAGTAATCCAATAGCATACAGTTTCTTCCCAAACAGTGCCACGTGAGATATCACTCAAATAATGGACTTCATCCAAAACAATGACATTGACTTGAAATAATCTACCTTCAGAGGCTGTCATGCCAACACTGCAGTACAAACAGAGGATGTCAAGATTCATCTCAGAAACAGGACAGGGAACATCAGTTACTACTTACGACCTAGAACTACCTACCGGCAAAAGATTGACCTCCCAAAGAAACCACCTTATAGCTAAGAAACAGGAAAACTATCAAGAAAAGAAATCACACGTATTTTAAAATCAGCGTGTACAATTTGGGAAAGGCTGGCAATAATTTTATTTAAGTTATATCTACTGTGAATGGTTCTCGTCATAAAAGCTTCTGCTATATTTGTATAATTAAAAATGGCAAACTGCTAAACTGGTATGCAGAGTGAGTATCTGCAACAATCCATATTGATCATTGTATATCATTATAAAATACCTTTGGTACAGCATGTTACGTAAAATCTCTGTCGTCATAATTAGAATCTGAGCACCTTTGTTGATAGCAGAATCTCCTGTAAGAAGGCCAACATTATGATCACCAAAGGTATCCCTGAAATAATTGTACAACCAATTGTGTCAAAAATGAATTTACTAGATAAACTGATTTATTTTTTATGGATTTAATAGTAAACCTGCAAAAAGTAGGAGAATCAGAAAATAACATTTTACCGGAAATCACGGAACTTCTGGTTTGACAAGGCCTTTAATGGTGTTGTGTAGAAGAGACGCCTTCCTCTAGCTACTGTTGCGACTGCTGCAGCTTCTGCTATTAAAACAGATGAACCTCTTAAAAATGCTTGTATAGCCAAGCGCTACAAGAAGATAGGAAACAGTGTAAGAAAAACGGAGTACAATAGCTTGGGGACATTGGATAATTATTACACTAGCAAATATGTCCGTGCATTGCAACAGGATACATAACTTGTTGCATGGTGCTCGTGTATTCGGGAAAATAAAAAAGAGTTAGCTATTTTTGTTGACCTTAATTGGACTACGATATATCAAGTAGATTCCAAGGCAATAAATGCTAGTGCAATAAAGTATCGCTCATGTGTAAAAAATTAACAGCAGATTGATTAATTTGAAAAGATAATTATTTGTATGTACGTGTTGTGAGTTTAGAAAGGTAGAAGGCAAGGCACACATGCACGCGTGCCATGATGCGAACAGGCTCCGGGCCTGTTTCAAAGAAGACGTGCCTGTTTTGACTTGATTGTGAGAGAAAAATACGAACAGGCTCCAATCAGCCAGCCAGCAACAGGGCATTAGTGGTGCGCCATCAACAAACACATATATCCATGTGTTATTACAACAAAACACACCAAAAGTTTACTTATAGATAACTTATGGCCCGAAAATTTGAGGAGCGAGATTGACTCTATAAAGTGCGTATAAGAAATAGAAAAGCTATTGAAGGGTAGTAATATATAGAAAACGATTTCTATTGAAATATTTCTAAAAAATTGCTATATCTTATGTGCCCGAATTTTCATGTAGTTAGAAAGACAGATCACAAGAGATTATTTATAGTTTTTTTAGCCAAACAATGATTAAAAAAATACATGCTATCGGAACAACAATAAAAATCAGGCGAGGCAATTAAAGAGAACATTGGTAAATTAGAAGGAAATACAGGAAAATAAAAGGGAAATTGTCTCACGGGCTGTGGCACTTCCAGTGTTTATGGGCCTTAATTTTGGGCTGTCCACGTATATGTAACTCCATAGCTCCTAGTGTTCCATAAACCAAACCGATACGGCAGCAAGCATGACTATACGAGAAGGAGCGTCCAACTTCGTACGTGAGCTGCAGCTCCGATACGACTTAATCACGCACGATGTCCTCCACATCGAGTTGGCCGTCGACCACGCCTGGCGCCCCGGGCGGTGGGATCGCCTAGCGCCTAGCGCCCTGGGCGGCGGGCCGTCGTCGCCGCTGCTGGCGCGGGGCCAGGCGGCGGCATCATCGGAGCGCGAGAAGATGCCCATTCAGCAGATCCAGTAGCCAAGGGATCGCGCGGACGCACTGCGGTGGGAGCTTGATGCGGTGGCGGATGCGACCGAGGCGGCCAAGATGCCCACGAGGCACGCGGAGCTCCGCGGTCTCGTCGTCACGGGGACGAACGGGATGGCGGACGTGACCGAGGCGGCCAAGATGCCCACGAGGCACGCGGGTGGCGCCGGTGGAGCTCCGCGGTCTCATCGTCACGGGGACGAACGGGACGCAGGCCAAAAAGAAGGTGCGGGAGCTGGGCGAGGAGCTCAGGGACACAGAAGACCAAATAGAGTTTCTTTGTTTTCACACTGTACCTGTTGATCTCCGAGTTCCAACCAAAGTCTCTTATTTGATTAAACTACGTGTGCCTGGATTTGCCTCTTTTCCTTGCCTTTTATACGTCATGCTCATGCACACATATTACCAAAAAGCAAATAATTATCAAATTTGAGTTGCTTCCTAACACCAGCAAATTAATCGTGCGAGTTCGGTTCGCATAGGACACGTGGAGTCTTAGTTTCCAAAAACAAACACAAAAGGAATTCCATCGGCACATTTTATATTTGATTAGGATTTCTAGTTATATTCTAATTATTTTAAGATGTCATACATATATAACGTGAAAGCTATAGACAGACGTGAAGAGTTCTACGTTCACGAAGTGTTAGAGGATGGACGAAAAAAAATGGTCAGAAATTTTGCCTCTTTATTATAAGGTATAGATATAGATGTATAATCTAGTCCTATATACGTCGTATTTGGACATGTTGTAACTCCAACCCATTGGGCTATATATATGAAAGGTCACCCCCTAAGGTGGTGTGAGGTGTTTCCTTATTCCTCTGTCTATCTACATGGTATCTTTTGCAATTAGATCCTAATTTCCCGCTTCCGCTCCCTCCTTCCCGATCGCGAGTCTCTCGCTCCCTCTCCCGATCCTGATCGAGATTGATCGGTCTTTCCCGCAACTGACGCCCACCTCGCCGCTCGTGACCTTCTCACGTCGTGTCCACCCACCCCGGCGGCTTCCCCTCCCTCCCTTCCTTCCCGATGTCCACCACATCGGCGACCGTCAGCGGCTCCATGCCGGCCACCGAACGGCACCCTGCCGGTCACCGGTGCTGGCACCATGGGTGCCCTCGGCGCCGAACTTGCCCCAGCACCGATCGTGGCCCATCCCTATGCCACGGTGAACGTCAAGTCCCATGTCCCGATCACGTTGGAATTGAACTCCAACTACTCAAAGTGGGCGTTCTTCTTCAAGTCGTTGTGCGGCAAATTCAGGTTACGCAAGCACATCGACGGCTTTGCTCCTCCTCAACCCGCTGACCCCCAGTGGGATGCCGTAGAGTGCTACGTCCGTAGTTGGATCCTCGGCTCCGTCGACGATTCCGTCCTTGATCTCGCCATGGACGAGCCCGATCCTCAACGAGTTTCATTCCATGGTGCAGGGCGACTCCACCATCTTGGCATACTGCCGTGTGCCTGAAGACCAAGGCCGCTGCCCTCCACGACGTCGGTCATCCTATGGACTCACAGCTCATCCTCGCCCTCCTGTGCGGCCTGAACCCTCGCTTCTCCAACACCGCCAATGACATTGCCAACTCCACCGTCCTTCCCTCGTTTGCCAGGGCCCATGACATGCTGGTCCTCAAGGAGATCCGCCTGGCCAACGACGAGAAGACCGTCGTCAACACTGCCCTCCTCACCGCGGCTGACTCTGGTTGTACCAGTTTGGGTAGGTGTCGTTCTAGCAACGCCGGGGCCTCCTCCGTCGGCCACAGCAGCCACACCACCGACTACGGTAGCGGCACCAGTGGCGGCCATAAGGGTGGCGGCGGCAAGGGCAAAGGCAAGGGAAAGAAGGGCTGGAATGGTGGCCCTCCACAGCAGCGCGGTGGTGCTGCTGGTGCTCCCCAGCAGGCCGCACTCATGGGCGCCTGGTTCTGCTACAACCCGTGGGCGCCCCAGGGTCCTCCCTCGGTCCAGCAAGGCCACAACACTTGGCATTCTGGGGTCCTCGGCGCGCCTCCTCAGGCTCACATGGCCTTCGCGCCGGTGCAGCGTCCCACGTCCTTCGCACCGCTCCAGGTCTCCTAGCCGGCTCCCATGTGGAACCAGGCCGGCCTTGTCGCCGCGCTGAACCAGATGACTCTCCAGGATTAGCATCCCTAGGTATTGGACTCCGGTGCTTCCTCTCACATGAGCTCCTCGGATGGTATACTCCTTTCCCGCCATCTTTCCTCTCACTCCTTTATTACCGTTGGCAATGGTCAAAATCTTCCTATTACCTGTCGTGGCGAGTCTATCCTTCAAACATCAGTGTCAAATTTCCCTCTTCATAATGTTTTAGTTGTTCTAAAACTAGTGCACAACTTGATCTCAGTTCGTCAGTTCACTAGGGACAACAACTGTTCTATCGAATTTGACGCTCTTGGGTTTTCTGTCATGGATATCCTGACCCGGCGCGTGATGCTTCGTTGCAATAGTGCTGGCGACCTTTACACCATCCCCGCTGCATCCGCCCCTCCACACGATAGCCTCGCCATCTCCACCGACCTCTAGCATCACCGTCTTGGTCATCCCAGCTCTGCCAGCTTCGACATTCTTCGCCATAGTGCCTCCATCAGTTGTAATAAATTAGAGCATACTCTATGTCATTCGTGTCAGCTTGGCAAACATGTGCGGCTTTCTTTTTCAAACTCTAGTTCATTTAGCTCTATGCCTTTTGAACTTGTTCATTGTGATGTGTGGACATCTCCTGTTGCTAGTACCTCAGGTTATCAATACTACCTCATTTTGCTCGATGATTTTACGCATTTTTGCTGGACTTTTCTCCTCGTTTGCAAATCTGAGGTAGCAGCCCACATCAGCAATTTTGCACTTATGTCTCCACACAGTTCAGCCTCGCCATCAAAGCCTTCCAGGCCGATAACGGCACCAAGTTCATAAACAATACCCTCCAGATTTTATTTGCCTCCCGTGGTATTCATTTACGCCTCTCTTGTCCCTACATTTCTCCCCAAAACGGCAAGGCCGAATGAATTCTTCGCACACTGAACAACATCAGCCGCACTATGCTCATCCATGCACACCTGCCTGCACCCTATTGGGCTGAGGCGCTTGCCACGATGACATACCTGCTGAACCAGCACCCGTCCTCCGCCGTTCGCAATGCCATTCCATATGATCTACTTTACAACAAGACACCTGATTACTCCCACCTTCGTGTTTTTGGGTGTCTCTGCTACCCAAAATTGACCGCCACGGCTCACCACAAGCTCGCCCCCCGTTCTATAGCTTGTGTCTTCCTCGGATATCCATCATCACATAAGGGGTACCATTGTCTCGATCTGTCGACCCAGTGCATCATCATCTCGCGCCATGTTGTTTTTTATGAGACGTGTTTTCCCTTCGGCCTTCACACTTCCGGGTCCTCACCCAGCGACCTGGATTTCTTGCTTGCAGGTACCGTGCCGATGCACACCCCTATGGCCACTACGTCATCTGCCGACGCTGAGCGACAGTGACTTTCTTAGGTGGTCCTAGAGGAGCTGGCGGACGACCCCGCAATTCTTCTCCGCGGGCCTGTGGTGGCTGTCGCTCCTGCTCTTGTACCAGCGGCTGCCCTTGCTCCACCAGCCCGGGACTTCCACCTGACGTACAGTCGCCGTCCCCGGGCACCTGCGCTAGCACCAGCACCGGAGCAGCCTGTGCCACCGCCAGCAGCCGAGCAGCATGCACCCCCACCGCCCGTGCAGCTTGCTCCGACGCCGGTCGTGCCGGCTCCAGCACCAGCACCTGGCCACCAGTCTCCCGGATGGTCACCCGGTCACAAACAGGAACTCTTCGTCCGGTCCAGCGCTACGGCTTCTCCGCCACGCACTCCGTCGTCTCGTCAGTGCCGACAAACTACCGGAGCGCCTTGGCTGACCCTTAGTGGAGGGCTGCCATAGCCGATGAGTACAAGGTGCTCGTCGATAATGGGACCTGGTGCCTCGTTCCTTGTCCTCCCGGCGCCAATGTTGTGACGGGCAAGTGGATTTTCAAACACAAATTCCACTCGGATGGTTCCCTTGCCCGCCACAAGGCCCGTTGGGTGGTTCGCGGCTTCTCTCAGCGCCATGGCGTTGACTATGACGAGACGTTCAACCCCGTCGTCAAGCCGGCCACGATCCGCGTCGTACTCAGCCTTGCTGCTTCGCGCTCCTGGCCGATCCACTACCTTGACGTGAAGAATGCTTTCCTCCACGGTCATCTGGCGGAGACCATGTATTGTCAGCAGCCCCCCTGGCTTCGTCGCCCCCCTCGCCCTGACAATGTTTGTCTTATGCAACGCTCTTTGTATGGCCTAAAATAGGCTCCTCGGGCCTAGTACCAGCGGTTCGCTGCCTATCTCAGGCTCTTCGGCTTCGTCGCCTCCGTCTCCGACACGTCTCTCTTTATACTTAGAGGGGGGGCGCCACTACCTACATGCTCCTGTACGTCAACAACATCATCCTTATAGCATCTCCGACTGCCCTCCTGCAGCGCATCATGGCGCGACTCCACTCCGAGTTCACCATGACAGACCTCGGCGATCTGCACCACTTCCTCGGCATCGTCGTCACACTCTCACCATATGGGCTCTTCCTCTCCCAGCGCCAGTATGCTGTGGATCTTCTACAGCGGGCGGGCATGGCCGAGTGTCACTCTACCTCCACACCAGTTGACACTCGTGCCAAGCTCTCCGCCACCGATGGAGCTTTGGTCGCTGATCCATCACAATATTGGAGTCTCACTGGTGCCCTATAGTACCTGACGCTCACCCATCCTAAGCTTACCTACGCAGTCCAGTAGGTGTGCCTCTTCATGCACGATCCCCGCGAGCCCCACCTCGCGTTGATCAAGCGCATCCTGCGCTACGTGAAGGGCACTCTATCCACCAGTCTCCACCTCTGCTCTGGGCCGATTGACTCCCTCACCGCATACTCCGATGTGGTCTGGGCAGGCTATCTGGACTCTAGGCATTCCATGTCCGGTTACTGCATTTTCCTCGGCGACAACCTGGTCTCTTGGTCCTCCAAGATCCAGACGACTGTCTCCCGCTCCAGTGCCGAGGCTGAGTACCGCGCGGTTGCCCATGCCGTGGCCAAGTGCTGTTGGCGACATCAACTTCTCCAGGAGCTCCACGCGTCCATTGCCTCTGCGACCGTCGTGTACTGTGACAATGTTAGCGTCGTCTATATGACCGCTAATCCTGTCCACCATCGTCACCGAAGCACATCGAGATCGACATTCACTTCGTCCGCGACCAGGTTGCTTTGGGACAGGTTCGTGTGCTCCATGTCCCGTCGACTCATCAGTTCACGGATATCATGACCAAGGGCTTACCTGTACAATTGTTTACTGACTTTAGGTCTAGTCTTTGCGTCCGAGATCCTCCCGCTGCGATTGCGAGCGGGTATTAGACATGTATAGTCTAGTCCTATGTATGTTATATTTGGACATGTTGTAACCCCAGCCCATTGGGTTATATATGTGAAAGGTCACCCCCTAAGGTGGTGTGAGGTGTTTTCTTATTCCTCTTTCTCTCTACAATAATGCTCCTATTGCTAAAATTAATTTTGGAACATATAACTCCCGAATGATCAGATTTACATGCAGCATAAAAAAACATATCCGCCTTCAAGACAATTTATTGCTGAAAGAGGGATTGTTTATGTTATCTTTCCAATCACAATGCCCAATAACTAAGTTATAATTTTGAAATTTAGTTCAAATTAACTTGAAAACAGTTAAACTAATTCAGGTTTTTAAATCAGTAAACTACTACAGTTTTATGAAGGCCATGCCAGATTTTTTTGTTGCCTGCTTAGTTAGTAGTGCTATACAAAACATCCGAAGAGTAGCTTGTCCCAAACAATGCCATCAGAAATCAGTCAAAATAGTGAAAGTTTTTTTTCCCGGGAAAGGTGATGGAAATTGTAATGTTTAACAATGAAGCCACCATGGTCCCAAGTCCGACACCCCCACCCCCACAAAAACAATATTACCATGTAACCAAGCCCATTCCAACAAACAATGGTTTGAAAAGAAATTGAGCCCCCCAAATTTAGGAGTTTCTTTCTTCGGAACTCAAATTTGAGTGCTTAAATTAGAAAGTGTGCTGCAGAGAAGAACTACCTGTACCTTGTCGTTACAAAATACAAATTACACGTGTGAGAAATCTTCCACAAAAGATTCAAAACTGCATTTAACTTTGCCGACCCAGCATTGGAGTTGCACGGTTAAACAAATAGAAGCAGGGCTAGCCCATCGAGTCAGGAACCAAAAAGATACCTGAAACTCGTCGATGGGGAAGTCGTAGATCCCGGCGAGCTTGTTGTAGTCGATGATGTCCTCCCCGAACTCCCGCACCTCATCGACCAGCTTTGCCACCCGCCGCAACTTGTACTCCTCCGACTCCCGCCTCCGCGCTGCGGTATCCTCCCGCTCGTCCTCGTCCTCCTCCGCCTCTTCCTCGTACTCACCACCGCTCTCCTCGTCCACTGCCTCCTCATCACCCTCATCTCCCTCATCCCCGTCCCCGAAGTCCTCGTAGTATTCATCGTCTACGTCGCGGATGCCTATCTCGTCGTCGTCGTCGTCCACGTTGAGACGGCAGCACCTAAATACGTCAAAGAAGCGGGTTTACCGTTTGCATTATCCTTCCTAACGGCGCGCCAGCTGGAGGAAAATTTTTTAACGGCACCTTTGGTTGAAGGTAATTGAAAGAGGAAACGAAGGATTGGAGGTAAATAACGTTTGGTCGAGGTAACTGAAAGGAGGTAATGGAAGAAGATTAGGTTTAAATAAAAATTTAAAAATCATGCATTTGTTTTATCGATAATGCTCACGAGCAGGCGTCCGTCGGGTCCGGACGTCGTTTTCCGCGCCGGGGAGCTATGGCCCAACAGGCCTGCTTTCTCTCTGTGTCTCCATCTCTCTCAAAAATATCTCTCTCTCGTGCTCGCCCATCGCGTGGTGCTATGTCCTGTGTTAGCTGCTGCCGTCTTCCTCGCCACACACACCATCTCGCGCTGCGCGGCTCCCCAATCCTGCGTCGCGCTTCCTCCGTCGTCGCGTCGCGCTCCATCCCCCTCCGCGCACGCTCTAGCTCGCTGCACGCCGTGCCCCGTCCCTCGTGCACGGCGAGGTGCTGCTTGGGTGCTGCCGGCGCCGCCGTTTCCCACCAGAAGGTCGTGGCCGCCGTCTACGCCATGGCCGCCGCGACGCGCGACCTCGGCGAGGAGATGTTGCAATGAAAGCGTATGTTTCAAGTATTTCAGACGTTCCAGAGATATGTTGCGATTGTTTTATACGGATGTTGCAAAAGTAGATCGGGGATGTTGCACATGTTGCAAGTGTTTCAGAGGCATGTTGCAAGTGTTTCAGAGGTTTGTTCAAAATGTTTCATCTGTTCCAGACGTATGTTGCAAGAGTTCCGATCTGGATGTTGAATATGTTTCATACATATGTTGCAACAATATGTTCCAATGTTTTAGTTGTTTCTGTCTTATGTTGTAGTAAGTGTTTTCGTATTACAAGTGTTTTATCTGGATATTGCATATGTTTCACACATATGTTGCAAGTGTGTGTTTCAAATGTTTCATCTGTTTCATACGTATGTTGTATTTAAGTGTTTCATGCTGCACGTGTTTCATGTTGTTCGGAGAGTCAAGGGGCGCAAAGAGTGATGGTGGCATGACGCGGGCGCCGGGGAATGGGGCGTGGCGAGCTGGGGGTAGGGGCCGGCGGACGGGGCGCGCTGGGGGCCGGCGGTCGGGGCGTGACGGGAGTTGAGGTGCGTATGCAGGGTGGGGTGAACGGCCTCGAATCGAGGCCGACAGGGGCGGGCTGCGCTCGTGAGGCGAGTCGTCCGGACGTCTGGGCGCGACGGGGCGGGGTGCGCGCACGGGGTGGAAAAAATCAACGAATGGGGCAGGTTGCGCGAGCGTCCGGACACGCACGTCCGTCCATACGTCCGGGCGCTAGCACTACCGTTGTTTTATTGGATTGGGAGTTTTGGTGAATAGAAAAACTAGAGGTTAGAGAGTACCATTAATCAATTCTCTAGAAGAGGGGTAGGAGGTGTGTTTTTAATAAAAGATAAATGCATCATCACTATTCATCATGATTTGTTTTTCTCTATGTTTTATTAGAATATGAAATAATATTCTTAAAGCATCATCATTGGAGGTTTGTTTCTAACAGCAGCATATTTGTCTCAACCCGGCTCTCCCCTCAGCGTCATAAAAAATCTACATGGCCGTATATGAGAAACCTATCAGAACAATGGTGTTAGCAATGATCTTCTCCTCCTCAAGAGAAACCTGATCTTCTTCTTCTTCTTCTTCTTCTTCTTCTTCTTCTTCTCAAGAGAAACATGTTTGCTTTTCTGTTTTAGATTCTCTTATATAGATAAAATTTTACCACGGTAGGGGCTTCCCCTAAGCTTAATAAAATGTATCTAGGGAGACACATCTAATCCAGGTAAAGAGGGATAAACCAAACAACTTGCAAAATCCACGGTTCCAACCTCTATGTGAGCTAATATATCTTGGATTGTAAATTAGTATCACAAGGTGAACTGAGTATAGCTTAGCTAGTTGGGTTCCTTGTGGTAGAATCTGACCATCCAAGTTTAAGTTCTAGACTTGACATGAGTGCTCGTATTTTTCTAGATTTATTCTGGGATTTAATGGTGGCGTTCTTTCAGTGGTAGACGATGTACCCATCGACAGCAACACGTCTGTGGTGACTTCGTCACAATCTCGAGATTTGTTGATCCAGTCTTAGTTTTTCATAGGTGCTCATAACAAAACTTGCTGGCCTAGTTACAGTGCATGCATTCTTAGGTGTGAGTTTGTGTGCCTTCATGAGTGTCCGTGTTTTACCAAAAAATAGTATCAATAGATCATGAACATGAGCTAAAACGAAAATTAGTTTTTATTGATATCATAATACTATGTAGAGAACATTGCCTAAACCTCTTATTCACATTTCTGCGATCTCGTGCAATATAGATACCGTAAACTAGCTTTCGAACATGCCTTCTATACCAAAATTGAAAATAAAAAGCGAAATGGTAGGGAACTAGATAGACAGTGTATCAGGCCTGAACACCAAGTTCCAGTAGCAAGGTGCGGTTCACAGCGTCTGCTCCGGAGCCAATAAACTGGATGGGTCCTATTGTTAGCAAAAAATTCCATCATGATAGCTTATTAACTCATTCGTCTACGAGTATTTGTCATTGCTAGAAAACTTGTTGCTACATACCAGGGCTAATGTATCGATTCTTGATGGCCCATTCATCTCGCAGGGATGCAAATTTCTTAAATGGTGCACCTGAATTTCTCAACATACGAATTTAGGATTGATGAGTGTACAAGTGTTTCATTATAACAATGAATATGAGGAGAGAAATTAATTCGTACCTTCAAGTTCTACCATTGCTTTCTTGATCACTGGTTTGAACTTGCCTGTGGAATTGCGTTTGTGCAATGCAAAGTCAGAGATAGAGAAAAAAATGCTTCTAACAGCAAAATAACAAAATAATAGATTATGACCAATGACAGGAGTAAAATATGGTAAAGCCATAAAAGAGAACGTTAAATTATTATCAATTCGCTAGAAAATATTCTTCTATGTCAAATAAAAATATAGAAATATTTTTTTGCTTTTACATAAACTTGGAACATAAATCCAAAGAAAAAGAAAGTAAAAACATTGCTCTTTCGAAGAAGATAAATAAAGTAAAGAGATTGCTCTTTGAACAAAGACAAAGAAAGTAAAGAGATCGTAAGCAAATCTTAGTGAATACGAAAAGATAACATGTCTCCTCTCAACATCCATCAATGATGTCAATGCAGTTCCCCCGGCAGTCCACTCGGACACAGGGGCAGCAAGGTTACCAACCTGAGTTTATACAAAACAAAGAACCATAAGACATACCATTACAAATTATAAAAGAACCAAGTGAACCAGATAATCGCCGTTACATTTGTATGTGTTACTTTGGGTTATTATAGAATTTGAGGTGAGGTTTGGCGTGATAATGTTAAAAAATATTTAAAATGGAATAATAATATTGTGCATTCATGCATGACTTGAACCTTTTGCAAAATATATGACCATAGAAACAATGTCAACAATATATTATAACACCAAGTTGGCATATGTACCGAAGATATAAGACCTGTCTTCCCACACTGGAGAAGAGCCCCAGCACCATAACCCAAAGCGTAGCAATAACTGGCATCAAAATTAGTTGGAAGGCCACACCTCCCTTCATATCTGAAAATTGACATTGAGAAGACCATTATAATACATTTCCTTTATACCCATGCATAAAACAATGCTCATTATTTTAAAAGATCTAAACACTCACCCAAAGAAGTGGGATTGACCAATGAAATTGCCCTTGTATTTTCCTTCGGTTTTTCTTCTCTCTAATTCCGTTTCAACCATTGCAATAAGCATTTTCTCTGTTTCAATTTTTGCAACCTGAAAAAAAGAAACATCATGGGATGTCAGAAGCACATTTCAAAACAAGAAATGTTAATTGCTAGGTTAGACGGTTAAAGAAAAGTTTCTTACTTGAACGTTTCCATGTGGATCTCTTTCCAGCAAAAGCTGCTCCTGGATGGATGGGGGTAAAAATTCAAACAGTTTCTTGGATTCTTGTTCAAGTTTATTTTTCCAAACACCTGCTTCGTCAACAATATCATGTGCCAAAAATTCATTTAATTCGGCAATAAGTTTCTGAACCTAGGAAGGCAAAGACAAAAATACACTTAGAATGAACATAGAATAACCATGAGTTGTGCAGAAAAATCTAGGTGCAACCAAGTCCGAGGATCAATGAACTCTCAGTAGCTCTAAATGAACACAAATAATGAGGATATCTTATAACCTCTGGTACGAAATCAATCAAACCCTCCGGTATAAGGATGACACCATAGTTGTAACCAAGTTCTGCACGCTTACAAACGATATCGGTAATGTAGTCTGTAACGTTTTTGAGAGTCTGCTTCTTTGCAGCAACCTGAATGAAGGGAAACAAATTTTTTGTGTATCAAACATAAACACCATATTAAAATTAGAAATTCCATTAATTGCTATCGTTTTATAAATAAATGAACCCATTCATACATTATTTAGGCCGTCAGTAGAAAAAATATCTACGGAAGTAATGTAGGAGGGTAGGTAATTGGTCATGAGCCAAACAAATGTTAGTTGCTTAAATGAAACAGGAATGAAACCTTGCATAAGCACGCTCATCATGTAATGCTCACGGCACACTATTAAAGTCATATCTAAGCAAGCAAAAAGGCACTGAGTAAAGATCAGAAAAAACAAATACAATATGAAATAAATATCCAAAGGAAGAGTACTAACCTCTTCCCCGATAAGAGCAATGTTTGGGTGTGTTTGTAAGGCACACTCCAATGTAATGTGAGAAGCAGCACGTCCCATAAGTCTTACAACTGTAGTGAGATATCAAGAAAATGTAACACAACTCTTCCCCGATAAGAGCAATGTTTGGTCAACCACAGTTGGTTGTAAGGCAAAAAAATTAGTAACACAACTCTTTAGGTATTTGTCCTTGGGAAGAAAAACAAATCTTTTTATGAATTCAAGGAGATGTAATTATATGACTCAATGGTTCGAAATGACTTACTTCCACTATAAAAATATCCTTATCTGCATTCTAATAAAGTTATGAACATATGATTCATGTAGGCTGAACTAATGAAAAATGATGTATGAGCAATCTATAACAAATATTTCATGAGGTAGGTAACGCAATCACTACTTATTTAATTTGTTCATGTTTATGCAAATGGTTCCTTTTAGGAAATAAAAAATTCAGCTTATAACAAAAGCAAATAAGCACAATAGCTTACAATGGTAGTATTTTCCTGATGATCGTGCATCAGTCATCACGTTTCCAATCATTTCAGAGTATATCTACAAAATATAATACACGAATTACATTATATGGCTAGTTCTACATGAGTATACAAGTCTTCCGAGATCAGTGTTGAATAAAAATATGGTTACTTAGTTAAGATTTTTTTAATCTGTATCACACAATAGAGTAGAAAAGGTTGTTGTGACATTCTTTGACTTAAAAAGGGCTAATTTTTTTACCTGCTAAAAAACTTTTATGTATGGAAAATACATTGTACCTTGCAAGCGGTGTCGAATCCAAAACTTGTTGGGACCTCATGGCATTTTAGATCTCCATCAATTGTCTTTGGACACCCAATAACACGAGTCTTCAGGTTCTTTCCCCTACAAAGAAATGCCTCTTACTAAGCATGCGTCACATTTTTCCTAAATTTATTTGTGATGAAGCACATAATCCCCATTAGAATCAGCAATGATTGCATTCTAGCAGCATATGTAACTTCTGCCACTGTTATAAACAATAACATTATCACATCATAATTCAAGATGACATTGTTTAGAAAAAATACCATATCTTATTATTTTTTAAGTCTAAGTACAAAGCTTATTTCATAACAAAAGTGAACAAAGAGCATTTTCGATGGAGCAGCATGGTGATTTGCACTCTTAGCAAGCAACCAACCTGAAGTATTCAGCAATAAGGCAAGCATTAGTATTTGAATCATCGCCTCCAATAACAACAAGTCCGTCCAACTCAAGTTTGTTGGCTGTATCTTCGGCTTGCTTAAACTGGATGACCCCACAAGGGAAGTATTTTAGCCACAGTTGACAAATGCTTCAGTATATGGAATAAGATGTATTTAGCAAGCTTATGCAGGCAAAACTTGGAGATAAAAGGGTAGCAAGCTTATGCAGGCAAAACTTGGAGATAAAGGGACATACCTGCTCTGGTGTTTCGATCTTATCCCTTCCACTACAGATCATATCAAATCCACCCTATGGGAAAAAAAGAAGAAAAGTACTCTTAACTTGGTTTTTAATTTCGACGTATTTATAAAATACTCAAGAATAAAGAATGCTATGTCCCCTAACATATTGAAGGTACTGTTTCTCATCGATAGCAAACTAAGGAAGCATGGTTTAGAAGACTTGTGTGCCAAATAGTGGAGAGCTACCGACATGTTACACAACCGAAGACAAAGACCTATGTACCTTTCCAACTAAAGCAATGTGACATTGGAAAACTAGACCATGGTTAAATGCATATCATTGAGTTAAAATCATTAATAAAACATGGATAACCTGGTTTCTGTAGGGGTAGACGAAATCGGTATTGAGTTCGACATACTTGCACTTCATCACCCCTGCTGGGCCTCCTTTGAATCCATACATTGTGCTTCCCTTTGCGTGTTCCTGCAAGAAATCTAAAATGGCAGATTCATTAGCGAGAGATACTAAAATAGCTGTGCACTTCATCTTAATAAGCTACTTTAATTAAATAACTCCACTAATCAATCGTCAGAGCTCATTACTTATTAGCCGATATTAACCAAAATTCGACCCCCCAGCCCAGCTGCCTAGATTAGAGGACGCAGCGGCCGCCGAAGCGGATGGCAGCAGGGAGGAGGATGTAGGCTGCACAACAGTGGTGATTGGCGGCGGCGGCGGCGGTGGGCTGGTGGAGGTGAGAAGAGGACATGACATCTCTGATACCAAATTGATAGGACTTGGTGCCCTACCAGAGTTGCTGCATAGGTTATAGGGGTGGAAGAGCGGAGGACGAGGCTTAGAGAAACGGCGGCGGGTTGGCGCCGTGGTGACCACGGCGCAAGGAGGAAGAGGAGGTGCGGCTAGGGCTCCCAAGGGAAGCACGCAACAAATATGTTGTTTCTGCTTAATTCCAATCTCAATTATTTACAAAGTATTTATCCTCTATAGGATCCTATAATTAAGAAATAAATACCATAAATAACAAATAATAATAATATGATAGCATCCTTACTCTTTCATTCATCAATCGTCCATAGAACACTATGCAACGCTCTCTCCGAAAATAGTTACTTTAACTTTGGGCCCTTTATAGTCCAGTGAATCATAGGCTTTCCTTACTCTTAGCCCCTATAGCCAGCGTCCTCCTCTAGCCACTAATGGGCCTGCGCCTATTATAATTGGCGCCGGTCGTAACATGACAATTGAACAATCCTATTCTCTAAACAATTTTAAATCGACGCCTGGAAATGGTGACATCATACTGCCATTGTTAGTTGCAATTCTGGAAACATTGATTCTATGAACGGATCAAAGAGACCTCACCGAAGATACCACAGATCACATTGTGCCCACCGGGTGCTTGTCCACCAGAGAGCACCACCCCGACCTTCAGCGCCTTCCCCTCCACTGCCTCTTTGGCCGGCACCAATGTCGCCGACGGCTGCCCAAACAAGTTAGGGAACAGCTTCGCGATCTCATCTGCGGGGAACAGGCCAAAACCGAACGTAAGGCAAAAAAACAAGCTCGAACGAAAAACCAAGGAACGAGACAAGATCAAGGCCAAGGGATGCATGCATGCAGGTCTTCGTTACCCGGGTTCCCCGTGGCTGAGCTGGGAGGCCCATCGACGAGGGAGAATTGGGAGCAGAGGACGGAGGGGAGCCGGAGCGCATGATGGAGGCGGCTCGTCTGCACCTCGCTGTAAACCGACGCCAACCTCCCAAGTGATGGGCCGTTCTCCGCCGCCATTGCCTGCCTCTTCGTCTTGGATTGGAGAACACGATGATGATGCGAGAGGAGGGGAGGTGGGAGGGGACTCATATCCACGGCCGTGTGTTGCTAACATTAGCAATGACTAGGACTCGGTCCAATTTCCATGCATGGAATCATATGTGGTTCTGTTTCCTTCTTATCTTTTTTTTTCGTTTGTTAGTAACGCCCGTGCGCAGATGCATGCATGGGATGCAAGCAAATCACAAGCCCAATGGAAACCTCCTTTCACTCTTGTCTTCTTTCTGTTGTTATTACTCCGTACTTTGTTAGCAATGTCCGACGTAGATGCATGCATGAATGGCAAGCAAATCGTGGGCCGTCGGGCACGATAGAAGCAGCACGCATCGTGAGCTCTCTTTTCGTTTTTTTTTCCATTGTTCGATGAGGATACAACTTCATTCACATCACATACCACGAATTCACATTTTCAGGATAATAAATAAAGCTCTGTCTTGTCTGAAGGCAAGACCAACACATTTATTATTAAACAATATCTTACATTTGCCATTTCCAAAATGGCAATCATAAATCATCATGGTCCAACTTTGATATTAATCGAGGTTTCAGCACTTCTTTCTTACATAAAACGACATCTCTAAAGGTACAACACACACGCCTGAAGGAAATCGTGCGTCGCCAACCCACACGTGCTCAATAAAAGATTTAAAGGATTTGACTGCATACATGCATTTACACTGATCTATATGGACGTATGCACGCACATGGCACACTCTACGTATGCCATTTACCACCAGAACAATAACGTTGTTAAATCCTAGAATAAATTCAGATAGATGCTGCACCAAAGTCAAGGACTTCAATTCGTGTGACAGATTCCATCACGAGAAAACTAACCAGCAGAACTACGCTGTGTTTGCAACATGAGTTCAAAGTTCAATGCATGAAGTCCACACTTGTTTTGAGGCACGTGGTTTTAGCATGAATATATCCCATGCCGTCTAACAATAATCTCCATTCAAAATGGAGTAGAAAAGACAGACTAGTTTCCTACCCATAATTGATGTCTACAATTTCAGCTAATATTATTTTGATTATAAATTGTGTGACTACCGATAATAAGATGTTCTCTTTACGTTCCAAATTATAAGTTACTTTTGTTTTTCTAGATATATTGGCTTTGCATGTATGACGTAGACAAAAGCTATGAACTTAGAAAAGTCAAAACCATTTATATTTTTGAAGAGAGAGAAAGTATATAATAACTTAGTCACAAGATCTGTCTAGAAAAAGTTATGTACTGGTATATGTTTTGTTAGCGGCTTAGGGCGTTGACATCTAGAGTTTGTTGTTTGATTTGGTCCTTCAAAGTCACTTTTCTGCAGATTTTTTTATTTAATATTATTTTAATGAATAAATTCAGAAATAGATGTCGTAATGTAAAGATTGCTGAAATAGCACTCTATCGGCGAGTAGATGGCTATTGTCGGCGGACAAAAAGCCAACAGCCATTACCACGTCATCCATGGCATCGAACATTCAAACCAGCCGTAGACTTATCGGCAGACTGAAGGCCGATAGAACTTATCGGCAGACTGAAGAGCCGATATGATATTGTCGACGGACGGAAAGCCGACAGCCATCACCACGTCATCCACGCATCACCACGTCATCCATGGATTCAAACATTCAAACCAGCCGGTGGATGAGGGGTGGACGGGGTCCGCTGGGTCATGCCGCAGCCGGTGGAGGGGTCGCCCTCGGCAGCAGGTGCCCGTGGCGGTGGCGGCGGCTCGCCGGAGAGGTCACGGCGGCGCGGTGCACTAGACTCGGCCCTAGAGGCCCTAATCTACTCAACTATCTACGTGAACGTGTGTGCGGGTGTGTGAGAAGTGCAGTGGGGGTGACGGTGTGCCCTGGGGCGGCCTCGCCGGTGATGGCCGATGGCCATGGCGGCTTGGCGGAGCAGGGCTCACACGGGCAGGGCTACACAGAGACCTATACTACCTAGCAGCTACAGCAAAAGAAAGAGGGAAAGCTCAGAGACTCACTGGTCACTCCAATCGGCTAGAGACGCAGCGGAGAAGAAGGAAGGAGAGGGCGGCGCTGATGGCGCCTGGGGAACTCCAGAAAGGGAAGAAGTGGAAAAAGAGGGGAAAGAGGAGGGGAAAGGGGAAGAGGAGGGGGAGATGGGGTGTTCCTGCCCTCGGTGGAGTTGGTGGTGGAGAGGGCGAGGCGAGAGCGTCGCCGGCCGGGCCTATTTATAGGCCAGCTAGGCTGGTGTCCTTGCGGCGAGATATTTCTTGCGGCCGTGCTTATCCACCGCTCGACCACGTGGTTGACCTTGTCAGGTCACATCACCATGGCTGGCACTTGCTCGTGCGCACACCAGAGCTGCCTTGGCGGCTACTCTGGTGGCTCTGCACGGCGGCGACTATGGCGCCGACCATTGACGCGTGCACAGTGAGGGGGAGAGGGGAGGAGAGGGGAAAAAGAGGGTGCCATGGGTCCGTCTGTGTCGCCGTGTCGCCGTTGACGCCTGCTGGCACCGGGGTGGCGCTGGCGGGCGTTGATGCCATGGTTATGCCGCGTACGGCTGTCGGCTCGGAGGTGGACGACGGAGCTGACGGGCGGGGCCCGTTCGTCAGCGGGAGGAAAAGGGAGAACGGGGGGAGGCGAGCTGGGCCGGGTGTCTTGGGGCATAGCCCTGGCAAAGGCGAGCGCCATGGCGGACATAGCTAGGTGGTAGGCTCAGGCGAGATATTTCTTGGAGGAGGAGGAGGAGAAGGGAAGGAGGGAGGGGCTATGGCGGCGCCACCATTGCTATGGGCGAAAAAAGGAGGGAGGGGGAGGAAATGAGCCCAAGTGGCTTTTCCTATTTTCTATTTCCTATCCCTATATGCATATGTTTAAATGATTTCAAATTTGAATTTGAATGCATGGATGTGTAAAAGGGTGCCACCATAAGTTCAACAAGCGGCAAACATTCACACACAAAGTTGCACACATAAAATTTTATGTTCTTGTGTTATTTTATTTGTAAAAATTGTTTAGGTTGGCTATATATATTACTTCCTATGCAAATTTTACAAAGTTTAAATTTTTAGTGATTTTTAAAACTTGGTCAAATTTTTTGGGTGTTACAAACCTACCCCCTAAAAAGAATCTCGTCCTCGAGATTCGAGCTGATCCTTGAATAGATAGGGAAATTCCTTTTTAAGATCATCTTCTCTTTCCCATGTGACTTCTGCCTCTGTATGGTTATTCCATTGTACTCAACAGAACCTCACTGCTCTCCTTCTGGTTTATCGGGTGACCATATCCAATATCTTAACTGGCCTTCCCTGACACTGTAAATCTGTCTGTAAGTCCATGGTTTCCATAGGCACTTGCTCTTCTGGTACCCTTAGACATTTCTTTAGCTATGATATGTGAAATACGTCGTGTATATCTGACATCTCTTGGGTAACTCTAAATGGTAAGCTACATCTCCAATCTTTTCAATGATTCGGTAGGGTACAATGTACCACAGGGATAACTTCTCTCTAACTTGAAATCTTCTAGGACCCCTGATGGGTGATACTTTCAAGTAGATAAAATCTCTGGGTTGGAGTTCTAACGGTCTTCTCCGAGTGTCTGCATAGCTCTTTTGTCTACTTTGGGCTGCCTTTAAATTCTCCTGAACCTTGGCCACTTGTTCTTCAGCTTCCTTGATCATGTCGGGGCCAAACAGGCTTCTTTCTCCAACTTCAGGCCACATTAATGGGGTTTGGCATTTTCTTCCAAACAAGGCTTCAAATGGTGACATCTTCAGGCTAGCTAGATAACTGTTGTTGTAAGAGAATTCTACGAATGATATGCTCTTTTCCCAGTCTTTTCCATAGGCTAATATGCAAGCTCGTAACATGTCTTCCAATATCTGGTTCACTCTTTCCGTCTATCCAACGGTCTACGGGTGGTAGGCAGAGCTATAGTCCAGTCGCGTTCCTAAGGCTTTATGCAAGCTTTTCTAAAATCGGGCAGTGAACTGAGTTCCTCTATCTGAGACTATTTGGCTGGGTACCCCGTGTAACCTAAGAATGTTGTCGATGTAGAGTTGTGCTAGCATGTTACCCTTGTAGTCAATCTTTACTGGAATAAAATGTGCTACTTTTGTCAGTCGGTCTACTATAACCCATATGGAGTCGTGTCCATTCGGTGTCTTGGGTAGTTGTTGGTATATTTTAACGCACACAGATAAATCCGCAAGCACACGGATACCACTGTAGCTTTCACCCGGAAGTATTCCAAGTATCGTATCCATAGGGAAACGTGTGAGACTAACTACAGTCTAACTTAACTAAGGGTAGCAACAAGGTTAGGATAAATAGGAGCGTAGAGAGAAAAACTAAGGTTCTCTAATTCTGACTTGGATAACCTAGTCTTCTACTATTTAACTGGGGACATTACTAGGAAAACACACCAGCAGAAGATGCTTTCCTTTGTAACCACGTCCTACGTGCCCTTACAAATGGGAGATGGACTATAGAGGATTCAACGAGGCTATAAGAGTCACCCTCGTGAGCTACCACCAATCCAGAATGCAGGATGTATCTACGATTAACCTAAGTCTAAGCACCATGCTTACACTTATGATTAATACTTTACCCCCCTAGGAAGAGAATAAAGCACTCAAAAGAGTCGCAAACCTAATGAACAATATAAACAAGATGCTTACTTGGATCAGAAGTTGATTACTAGAGAAATCTTAAAGACAATCTTAGATAGAACTTGGATCCGCCAAGGTATAAGCCGTAGAGAGAGCACCGACAGACCGGCACCTCCCCCAAACTCTTCTCTCACTCTCTATCTCACTATTATTTACAAGACTAGATCCTAAAGAGGACTAATCTTTTCTTAATAGCTGGCTCTGATCCTGACGAGGAGAATATGAATTAGGATTTTAGGATGGCTCTAGGGAGGGGGGGGTAGGGGCTGGTATATATAGGCCAGAGCATCAATTTTGGAGCCTCGGATCA